TGGCAGATGTTTCTTTCCTGCTCCTGTTTAGTTTCCCAGGGAACTTCTGCAGTCAGTTTTAGATAATATTCCCTTTTCACTGTTAGTCACAAAAGCAGTCTCATGTCATCAATTACAATATCCATCCTGTGTAAAAATAAAGAATTTGAACTTCATTTAACTTTCGAGTTTCTCTTTTCTCCCAGCCCGATAAATTCTTAGGAGCCTGAACTTCAGACAGATATGTGGTCAGTTTACGTTTTCTCTCCTGACTCCTCCTCCTCTAGTAATTTGTTAGTTACGGTTTTTGACCTCAGTAAGATTGAGAGGGGAGGAAGGGGTGGAATTGAAGTTTCCAGAAAGGTTTTTCTTCCCCCTCAGTAATGTAGACTGGTTTGTGGCAAATGTATGGTGCTATCCTTTGCTTTTCATATGTGCCGGAAGAAAAGTCTCTGTAGCTGTGTAGGAAGGAATCAGATTATTGGTTGACAGTCCCAGCTCTGGGCTAAAGAGAGTAAAGATCGGTTGTAACTGCTTTATAGAGGGGCTGGCCAGAGTTCTGTAGGAAAAGCAAAGTATTAAATTAAGCAACCGAGTACCTCGTGATGATGCAGTAGTGGTAGAACAGCACGCTATAATTCTTAGTGTACTTTAACCAACTAAATGCTGGCAGCAAAAAATTTTTTGAGTCATTTTTCTCTAAAACAGATTCCGGAAGTGCACTCTTCAAATAAGTTCATTTTTGGAGTGTCATCTTAACTAGATAGCGGCAGGCCAGAAGACAGACTTCTTCCCATAGAATGGCCCTGCCTTTTCCACAGATAGGACTGTGTTTTAGCAAAATCTGTGTGTATTGATTATGGCTGACTGAAACAAACTTCAACAATTGAGAGCCAGAACTGTAAGGATTAGCTTTTTATAAAGAAGAAAATTAAATATGGAACTTTGTTTTTTTATTTTTATTTTTTTAAAGATTTTATTTATTTATTTATTTATTTATTTGACAGAGAGAGAGAGAGAGAGAGAGAGAGAGAGAGAGACAGCGAGAGAGGGAACACAAGCAGGGGGAGCGGGAGCGGGAGAAGCAGGTCTCCCGCCGAACAGGGAACCCGATGCGGGGCTCGATCCCAGGACCCTGGGATCATGACCTGAGCTGAAGGCAGACGCTTAACGACTGAGCCACCCAGGTGCCCCTAAATATGGAACTTTAAAATGACTATCAAAAATTTTTATTTGAAGCATATTTTATAGGCAAAAATTCTAGGCAAAAATGAAACTGCATTTTACTTATGGACATCAAACATTGTTATAAATAAAATAAGGAGATTTTTCCTCCCTTGAAAGTCAAAACATTAAAATGAAAAACCAAACAATAAAACTATGAACTAAAGAGCAAGTCTGAATCAATGAATAGATCATAGTGTTAGAACAGGATGTATTTACCTGAAACCAGATACTAACATACTCTATATATTCAAAGTGAAAAATTAAGAAGTCATTGTTAATTTATAAAAAGACTTACTGCATGCCATATTTGAATAGCTACCTCTCATTTATTGTTTTAAAGTAATATCAATTTTCCAAAAATGCATTTCTGAGAAACATATCTTTTAAAACCATATTGCTCAGGGCCAAGGGGGCAAAAAATGAAGGAAAAGACAGAGTTTCCTGGAGAAGCTTATACTTTCACTGAGGAGGCAAAACAGATCGTCAAGGCTTGAGTGAAGGAAGAGCACATGATAGGGAGGGTTTCAGTGACTGTGAGCACATTAAAGGTCGTTGGAATTTAGAGCTCACAGTCAAGTCATGGTCTAGGAGGAGACAAGCTGCAGTTGGATTTTGAGTAATGTCAGACCAGCTGAGGATGGTGGGGTCGGTAGGAAGGCACCAGTTAAGAGGAACATCAGTGGATGGTACGGAACATGAAAAGCAGGAAAAGGTAATGAGATACGTTGTTAATGCGAAGGGCCCACAGTAGAGAGAATGTCACATGCAGAAAGCTCCAGCTATCCTGCAAGGGACAGAGACTAGGGTGGCACTGCAAAGGAGAGCGAGAATAATGCTGATGACAGAGAGGAGTCGTTGTGCTTTTGGAAGAGGCCATGACTACATCTTAACAGCTTAGAAATGGTTCTCTGGGACTCAGGAGAGAAGGAAGAGCAGCTTTGGAAAAAAGGGTTTGGTTTTGGAACTAGAGCAGGTGAAATTGCCCTGGACATCCTGCTTGTCTCCTCTCCTTCTCAGGGCCAACCTCATCCTGGCATATCATTTAAATCATCCTTAAGAAGATATTAACTTAACTGGTACTGGTTAATATCTTTACTCAGGGGAATTGAATTTAAATGAACGTACTAGCAAATCTATGGTTTTCATCCTTTTTTTGGCTCAATGTATATTCAATAGGCAGTTATGATATGCCAGTTACTGTGTTAATCATCCCATAGTGGTGCATTTTTGGGAAATGTAAAGAGCAGTGAGGGAGATATACCCCAGAACTCTTAGAATTTAAGGGCTTCAGTGGGCTGCTACTGTGGCTAATTTTAAGGCAAGCCCTCCTGTCCTCCTGTGTTCTTAGAGCTCTCTCTGTCTCTCTCTCGTCTCTCCCTCTCACGTGTTTTCTTATTATATTCTATGACAATTTTCCCCTTACGCTGACTTTTACAATTTAGTATATTCAAAAATCTTATTGTGTGCATTCTTGTGAGCTATTTCAGATACTTTGTGAGCAAGGCTAAAAATAAACTCAAAGTAAGAAGACTTCAGATCATGCCAACCTGATGAATCAAATGTTTTTCATTTGTATTTTCTCCCAACCTTTATCCATATGAATACATAATTTGCACATATTTATAGTCAGAGTGTTCGGGTAAAAGAGAAGAAAAATAATTTACCCTCTTTCAAGGAAGAGTGGCACACACGGGCTGTAAATACTTCAGCGGGCCCTGTACATAGGATCCCTGGTGGCTACAGAGTCACCTCCATCCTGTTGGCATAGAGCATCAGGGAGGCAGCTTGCCGAGAGCGCCTATGTTTAGCCAAGGTGGGTTGTGTGATAAGAGGGCGGGGGCCTGGCCACATGCTATCTGACTCATCCTCTCAAGCACACGTGTCAGTGTCTCCTCAGTTGGGACCGCCTCCTTCAGAAGACAGAGCCTGCCTGTGACTTTTCTGCCACCTTCATCAATTTTCAGAAACTAATAGGCGCTGGGCACTGTTGAGCCTTCAGTAACTCACGTGGCCGATAACATCGTTATTACTTGCTGCTGGCCCTCACGCAATTGCCCTTTCTCTGGTTTGGAACTGCAGCCCGAACTTCGGTGCAGTGCCTAGCTCTTCCCCAGCCTCCAAAGCAGTCTTCCAGGCCACTGAAGGGATGCAAAAATGAAGCTACTTGACCTACTGCTTCGTTCTCAGGCATTTCGTGTTCCATTTCTGTGTGCATACATAAATATACGCGTGATACGTGATTTTGGATCATAGCTGGTCCCACATAATTTTTAGGATCCTTTTGGGGGGTAATCGGCCAGAGATAAAGAGCACAGCATAATCTTGAGCATGGATTTTAATAATTACTTTACATTTACTGATCTATGACCACAGCCTCAGTTTTATCATCTTTATTTTGGGCCTATTTGTGTTCTCCTCAGGGTTCTGTGTTTTACCAGGGTAAGGGACACGAGTGGCATGGTGCGTAGTCTAAGCAGGCGTCGGTGTTTGACTGATAGCCGTCTGCCAACGGCCGAGGGAGCTGCAGACGGCTTCCCTTAGCTGACATCACCATGAAGAGGCTCTTCTTACAAATAGGACAGACACATCTATTATCTGCCTTCCTCCTAGGAACACTGGCCACCTAGATCGCAAACAGTTTTCCACTGAGGTCAAACAAGGTCACTGGCTTACCTACCACAGCTGCTAAGTCTGAATCTTGACATTCCTTAATTCCAGCTTCTAGGCCAACATTGGCTCAGGAGTCGACTATCAGGGCATACGTGGAACTGTATTATCAATTAATGGATGTGAACATATGGCTACAAAGTACCCTCACTTATGAGGGAGCCAAAAAGAACCAGGAACCAAACTGCATTTGAATCAGATGAGATACCTGTGATTTGGTCCACTCCCTGGCGATGTAGTTATAAGACTTTAATTCATTGAGGAACCGGTTCACGAAGGCTCACTGGGTGGCTTTAGCGCTGTGCTACCTTGGGAAAGTGATACAGCTTCTGAGGGCCCTCACCTATGAATCTGAACCCATCATGTCTGCCAGCTCCTTTCTGGGGTTCTCATGAAGTTCACGTGGTGCGTATGTAGGCTCTTTGTAAATGGTGAAATTCTAAACATATAAGTGGTTGTTTATAGGCTCTTATGCATCCTGCAGGTGTTGCATGCTATTAACTGGCCGACTTTTCCCAACATTATTTTCCCTCTATAACTGAACTCCTGAATGTCTACCATCCCACCTACAACGGACATTCAATTTTAGGGAGTAAAGTCATTTCTTCAGTTGCTCTTATGGTGATCATTAGTCATGATTAGGCAGAATTCTACTGGTTAAGATATAATTCCAGGGAGGCCTAGAAGGCACTTTGTGCTCATTTCCCAAATATATCCCTGACAAACTTGCTAATAATGTAAAGTTCTGAAATTGGGAATTCATGTCATTGTCACAGTTTTAATGGAATTACATTTTAAGATCTACCATTCAAATATGCCTTATTAGGAATTACGTTCATCTAATAGTTTGAATAGGTTTTCAGTAGAGGAAAGGAATGGAACATGAGCTGATAGGGGTGAGAGCCAAAGTCTCAGAGAAGTTAAGTGTAGAGAGAGAGAACACAGTGGATATGCTATATCAGAATTTTTCTCCATGTGGATGGTAGACTATTTGGACTATGTCTCATGATTAATGTTGTCTTAATTCTCTAGGTGACCAAGAATCATGTAAAATTATCTAGAAATAAATCTCGACAGAAGGGCCAAAATACTTCAGATGGAGGAAAGAGAAGAGAAATGCATCTTACCCAGCAGGTCTGGTGTCTTCAATGGCTCTGTCCACTGGGATCAAATCACTGAGGTAGACATTGAAGTTTCCTTCTTTCCATCTTCTCTCTGCCTCCTTCTCCTTTCCACGGGGAACAACGACGGGCCGTCCAAATTGGCCTGGAGCTTTGGGATCCCTTGGAGAAAGTGTCACGTCAATTTTTAACACATGGTGCATTCCACGTTCTTCAGGTAACAAGGCTTTTATATGATTTTGGTTGAGTTCTGCAGGTTGGGCCTTGGCAGTCAAGCTGATTCTTGCTGGCTCTAGCCCCTCAGCTACGGCTTGATGGGATTGAGAGACTGTTGCTCTCCGTGGAGGGAAAGATGCCTCACTTCTCTTCCTGGAAATGTGTTTCCCTCGGCTTTCACCCAATACAATAGGGAGCACAGTTTTGTTTTTAGGATTGGGGGCCTGTTTGGTGTCTGTCTTTAGCTTCTCCTCCTTAGTTATAATCACAACGTGGCTTTCAGAGAAACTGAATTTCTTCCCACCAGCCACTTTGGCTCCATCATCCTTTGGCAAGCCTCCCAACGGTGCTTCGTTAATAGATTGCTTCTTTGAGCGATTTGAATTGGCAATAAACTTGGAAAAGGGAAGGCTCTTATTGGCTCCGTGTTTATTTGAATCTAGTTCTTTGCTCTGAGTCTCAGTTTTATTTAAGGCTATGGCTTCCCTAGATTTTGGCAACAGTGGGCTGGCAGGGTGTGTCCTCTCATTTGCTACTGCCTGTGATTGCTGCTTTGATCTGTCAGTATCAGGACTGAGGGTCACATTTGGATTTCTTTCGGCTGCTTGTTTTGATGCATCACTGCCAAGACTAGAACTCTTCAGGGCCTCCTGGTTTATACGGTCAGGCCCTGCATGTGCAGAAATTTCGGCCAACTGAGTTTCTCTTGCAGCTAGGAATGGGGTTCTCTGAGCCCCCTGAGTTCTCATTTGCTTTGCCATGTGGCGAGAGTAGGCTTCAGGTCTGAGGTCCTGCCTCTCTGTGTTTTGCTTGGTCAAAGTCACCGGAAGGGTCTGTAGATACTCAGGATGCCACAAAGGGGCAACCTTGCCCCTTCCCGGGGTGTTCTGCATTTTTCTTTCCCTCTGGGTTTGGTCCAAGTCATCCTCAACCTTGAGCATACCCTTCTCAGTTTTTCTAAAGCTCTCTTTGCCCCATATGCCCTTCCCATGTCCCCTCAGTGGGGGCTTCATTTCTTTTATGCTGCTGTAAAGGATCTTAGTTTGGTCTGGCTGAACTCGGAATCCTATCTGCTCCCTCCTAACGATGTCTTCCTTGAGGACCCGAGTGTTGACCTCACTGAATGACAGGCGGAGAGCTGCCATGTCAAAGAGCAGCCAGATGACAGAAGCTACAAATATAAATGCCAGGACTCGCCCGCTTCCTCGGAAAAACTTTCGAATCTTGTTCATGGTGCAGAGGCTTCGCTTGCAGCCTACCCTCCCCTGGAGCCTGCTTACCTTGAGTGGGAAGAGGGAGCTGAAGTAGCAGCAGCAGGGTTGCCAGAAAGCACCCCTCCCCTGAACCCAGCGGCAAGAGCGGTCCAAGGGGGAAAGCTCAGCTCCGACTGCTTGTCAGTCTCCGCCTGCGTGGCATTTCACAGCAGAGCCTCTGTGCCTGCTCAGCTGTCCCCTGGCTAAACCATGCTAAACACTGCCCGTTGGTCACTCCGGGAGCAGTCGATTCCAGCCACTGGACAGTTCAACATATCACTTGTCTCCCCCCACCGAGCCCACGTCCACCTTCCTATAAGCCCAAGAAAAGGTGGGGGCCGGGCTGGGGCTGCCACTTCTTTCCTCCCAGTGCTCCGTCTGCACGCTGTAACTCAACACCACTTCTCATAAGGAAAACATTTCAAGCCATTACCCAGAAAACTTCATTCAGCTCTCACCTTCCGTGTTAGGTGAGAGCGTGTGTGTTTTCTGGGCAATTAAAAGGAAAGAAAAGTTGGAGGGCATGTGTTCCTGGTTTGTAACCCCACCTACCCCATGCCTGCTCATTAACCCTGTTGTGCCCAGTTCTCTGAACGACCTGGCCCAGCAAACAATCACTGACCTTCATGTTTCGGCTTTGAGAGGGAACAGCTTAAAGAAGGGGTCTAGTGCGATCTCAATATCGGAGGTGGATCTTTAATCACTCAGCAGTTTTCCTTGAGTGGGAATCAAAATGTTTCTTTAGAAGTCAATGGTTTTTTAAAATGACTCCATCTATTTTTATTATTAGATTGACTAGACATAAACTTAATTTGTCATATTGCTCTAAAAGCTTCTAAACGCTTACTCTCAGTTTCGGTACTTATCTTGCCACAGAGTGGTAACAAACACTTTGCAGAGTGTCTTGGGGGTTGGACCAGACTTGGTACCCCAGCACTGGGAGACTGGCAGAGCAGTGGTCCCCACACAGGCTTCATGTTAGAATCACTCTAAAGAAGTGGCCCCCCAGCCCCCTATTCTGATTGACTGATGGGGAGTGGGGGCAGCGACAGCAGTTGGTCTGGTGTTGTGCTTTTGCGAAGCTTCCCGGGTCTCTATAATGTACAGCCAAAGCTGAGAAACACTGGTCTAGAATAAAATACCTCTCATTTTTTTTTAAAGGTTTTATTTATTTATTTGACTGGGAGAGAGAGCACAAGCAAGGGGAGTGGCAGAGGGAAAGGGAGAGGCAGACTCCCCACTGAGCAGGAAGCCCCACTCAGGGCTTGATCCCAGGACCCCAGGATCATGACCTGAGCCAAAGGCAGACACTCAACTTACTGAGCCACTCAGGCGCCCCATATTTTTTGTTTGTTTTTGAACACTCTCATAATTTTTGTGAAATTCCCTCCCAGATAGAGTAAAACTGAATCAAAATCCGCATTTTAACACCACCTATTATAAACATTGTCCATGAAGTTTGAGAAGCACTTCCAGAGAGCACTGTTCTCTTGGGATCTTTGAGCAATCTGTAGACGGCAATGCCACTTATTATTCCAGTGTGGGGGAGGGTGGGGGCATAGCGTCTCTGCTCTCAGGTAAATATAGGCCCCTGAAGACTTGGGAAGGGAAGAAGGACAAATTCTGAATTCTCTATACTGATGCATTACCTTCTGTAGCATTTGGCCTTTAAATCCGCACCTTGCCCCAACGGAGGGAAGCCCGATAAATGCAGCTATGGTAACATGTTTCTTGAATCCCTGATTCTCCTTTTTATTCAGTGCCTGCTCACTCCAGTTTGGATTGTCCACATGGATGACAGCTTTGGTAGTTTAGTCATTTCCTGCCTGCTGTTATTCATCCACCTTTCCAATATTTGCTATGTTTTATGACTCAGATCCTGTGTTAGGTATTGAGGGATATGGAGTAAAAGGCCATAGTTCTTGTCTTGGACCTCTCACACTCTATTGGTGGATACAGACAGGTAGGCGGATTTACAGGACATGATACGTAATACGAGAGAATAATCTACTGGATTCTACAGGGACCTAGTTTAGTTTTGGGATGCATGAATAATTTTTGAGGAAACTATCCTTAGACTTGAGGGGTGAATGAAAACATAATTATTTCTGCCCATATTGTGGTCTGAGAAAAGAAATATTAGTTGGATGGTGAAAGGGAGCTAAATTAGCAAAAATCATAAAGTGAAGAGAGAGTATAGGACCTGAGGGGAAGCACAGATGTCTGAGAACAAGCAGGACTGGAAACACAGGCTTTGCCATTAGTGGGCATGAGTGTGTGTGTGTGTGTGTGTGTGTGTGTGTGTGTGTATGGATGTACCCGATGTGTCCCAAACAGGTTACTGATCTCTTTCCATAGAGCATCTCACTCAATCTCCACACAACCCAACAGGGAAGATACAGTGAGAACTATCACTCTGTTATCAAAGAAACAAAGCTTAGAGAGGTGAAACAACTGGCAGTAGAAAAGGAGGATTTGGATCTGGAATAAATGACTAGGTGACACTGTAGTACTTACATGCCACACGTGCTGCTTCTCTAGCCGTCCAATCTTGTACATTAGTTAATGCCGTGTGTTTACTCTGCGATTAAAAAAAGAAAATAAATTCTGCCTTGCAGGGGAATGTAAAGATTAGAGAAAACAATTTAAAGTTCTTGTTATATTGAACGATAGAGTCACTGCTTCTAATACGGTTGCTGATATCTTGTGTGATAGGAGTGTGGGGTGCATGTGGGAGACAGCATACTGGCTCTTCTCAAAAATCAAACAAGAAGACTAATGACTAACATTCTTTTGGCAAAAGGACAAGAAGGATATTTGAGTATTTTATTTTTGGCTTGCTGTTCCTAATTCCCTTATTTTGGACTCACTCAATGAAGTCACTATATGCCCAAAACACTGAAGTAGTAACTTTGTTTCTGCCCCCTAATGACTTTAAAACTCCACTGAATAGAATAACTTCGACATAAAACATAGCAAACTATTTAGGATCCAAGTTCCAAAATAAAGTAAGAGATTGTTTTTCATATCATGGATATGTGGTTTACATTACAATATTGCTTTAAATATGAAAATAGGATGCTTTGAAATATTTTACTATCCAAGATTTAAGTCTTGTCCAACCACATCTCCACCCCAAATGGCAGCTGGAATTACTCAAACTCCTGTTAGAAAAGTCAGCCCTTATTACAACCTTATTAATCTCGACAGCTTTAAAACACTGCTTGAAAAATATCCTGAGTCTTCTATATTTATTTGATCTAAGAACAATGATTTCTTTCTCTCTCTCTCTCTCTTTCTCTTTCTCTCTCCCTCCCTCTCTGGTCTTTCCTTACAAATCAAAACATAAAGCAATTGCAACAGGAGGGAAGATTGTTAAGAAAATTAAAGGAGAGTCCTGGCTTATCTACCTTAGGTAGTTACTTATAAACTCTGGCTTAGTATTGACTTCTAGCTGATATAAAATACAGAATAAGACATGAAGAGTACATAAGAGAGAAAAAAAATGTTGACCTAGTCCTTTGCAACAGAAGGATTGGATTGGCAGACTTGGTCTAAAGTACTGACTTGACCATTAATAGACATAATCATGGATATGATCACACATGAAAGAGCTCTTCTAAAGGCCTCTTCCAGCCACTTCCCCATTTTTTTTCCCCTGGTGAGTCTGTAAGAATCTGTAAGAATGACCGAAGTTGGTTATAAGCTACATTACCGACCCAACGTTATGGAGCTTCAGGAACCCAGCAATAACTTCTGGTGGCTCCCAGCAGCTATACATAGCTCCTCTTTTTCCTCTCTTGTCTGGACCCATGATGTTCATACCAATGACAAAGTGTGGACAAAAAGAAATAGATTAAAAAAAAAAGAAATAAAAAAACAAAGAAATTAAGAAATTCTACACTTAATGGAAGTCAATACACACATTATCCAACAGATGACATTTCATATATGTAAATGGTGCTGTTTTTTTATTTTACTTGTATTAATTTCCATGTTACCAACATAAAAATAAATATATAGGTGGGCTGACTACTTAAGATATGTGTGGCTGTCATCCCAAATGGTAGCTTTAGCTGCTCAGATTTCTTAAGAATTTATACATAGTTAGTTGGAGTGGGTATCAATCTAAAAATCTTGAGTTATGAAGTAATCCTTGGGAGGCTTTTGGAGATGCTATTCTAATTTTCATTCTGACTCCACCTGTAGTAAAAAAAATAAAAAGTTTTAGCTTTTTCTTCCTTAAAATGGGTATATCAGTGGGGGGGGGGTCTCTCCTTTACTTGGTTGCTGTCAAAATAATCATATTAATAACAACTGTTTATTGAAAATTTACTGAGTGCCTGCCAACCTAGTGGATCATAGATTGTTCAACAGCACAGCGCTGTGTATTAGAGTGGGATCTGAACCTTTATGCTATGTCCATGGCAAATACCTCTGAATCATCCTCATTGTTAGTTGTAGGAGATTAATAAACCATGTTTTTATTTCTAGCCTCAAACTTCCATAGTGGAAATATAGAATCTTAGAAGTACTGGTTCCAGTTCTCTGGATTTGCAATAAAGTTACTCTCTCAGAGTATTTGACTGTTTCTTGATTATATAAGTCTACTCTGATTAATTAATATCTATTTTCTTTTATGATTTTTCCTCAACTGCTTAGTCCTAATTACAAAGGATATAAAAAGAAAAATGCATTTAGGCATATATTTTATGGAGAATAATGATAATCTATAGATGCATCACTGAATTTGAATTTAGATTTAAATTTAGAGATTCTAGTTAAAGACAATATGGAATGAAGTTATTATTCACTTGAGAAATTCAAATAGGAAAACCAAATAAATATTATGTGTATCATTTTGCTTTCTTATTTTAATATGGTCATTTTTTTCCTCCAAAATTCTTTTTTTTTGACAAGAAAAAATGTATTTAGCAGGATAACACCATCCTGTGAACAAAATCCACAAAAAAAGAGAG